CTTGGGCATAGCATTTTACCAAATCACCTCATTCTTTGGGGCACACGTGAGGAACACAAATGCGAACAAGCCTGAATGGTCCCCAGGACATATGCAACTGAAAACTCACACCCCAAAAGTGACTCGAACCCATACTCCCAGAAGCAACGCAACTGGTATGTACAAGACGCCTTAATCCACTTGACCATCACGACCGGACAAAATGAGGTGATAGCCGAGGCTATATGAACCACCCCACCGCCGGCACTCGGATAGTTATCTTGGGCATAGCATTTTACCAAATCACCTCATTCTTTGGGGCACACGTGAGGAACACAAATGCGAACAAGCCTGAATGGTCCCCAGGACATATGCAACTGAAAACTCACACCCCAGAAGTGACTCGAACCCATACTCCCAGAAGCAACGCAACTGGTATGTACAAGACGCCTTAATCCACTTGACCATCACGACCGGACAAAATGAGGTGATAGCCGAGGTGAGACAACCAAAATGCGAACAAGCCTGAATGGTCCCCCAGGACATATGCAACTGAAAACTCACACCCCAAAAGTGACTCGAACCCTACCCCAGAGCAACGCAACTGTATGTACAAGACGCCTTAATCCACTTGACCATCACGACCGGACAAAATGAGGTGATAGCCGAGGCTATATGAACCACCCCACCGCCGGCACTCGGATAGTTATCTTGGGCATAGCATTTTACCAAATCACCTCATTCTTTGGGGCACACGTGAGGAACACAAATGCGAACAAGCCTGAATGGTCCCCAGGACATATGCAACTGAAAACTCACACCCCAAAAGTGACTCGAACCCATACTCCCAGAAGCAACGCAACTGGTATGTACAAGACGCCTTAATCCACTTGACCATCACGACCGGACAAAATGAGGTGATAGCCGAGGCTATATGAACCACCCCACCGCCGGCACTCGGATAGTTATCTTGGGCATAGCATTTTACCAACACCAAAGAATGAGGTGATTTGGTAAAATGCTATGCCCAAGATAACTATCCGAGTGCCGGCGGTGGGGTGGTTCATATAGCCTCGGCTATCACCTCATTTTGTCCGGTCGTGATGGTCAAGTGGATTAAGGCGTCTTGTACATACCAGTTGCGTTGCTTCTGGGAGTATGGGTTCGAGTCACTTCTGGGGTGTGAGTTTTCAGTTGCATATGTCCTGGGGACCATTCAGGCTTGTTCGCATTTGTGTTCCTCACGTGTGCCCCAAAGAATGAGGTGATTTGGTAAAATGCTATGCCCAAGATAACTATCCGAGTGCCGGCGGTGGGGTGGTTCATATAGCCTCGGCTATCACCTCATTTTGTCCGGTCGTGATGGTCAAGTGGATTAAGGCGTCTTGTACATACCAGTTGCGTTGCTTCTGGGAGTATGGGTTCGAGTCACTTCTGGGGTGTGAGTTTTCAGTTGCATATGTCCTGGGGACCATTCAGGCTTGTTCGCATTTGTGTTCCTCACGTGTGCCCCAAAGAATGAGGTGATTTGGTAAAATGCTATGCCCAAGATAACTATCCGAGTGCCGGCGGTGGGGTGGTTCATATAGCCTCGGCTATCACCTCATTTTGTCCGGTCGTGATGGTCAAGTGGATTAAGGCGTCTTGTACATACCAGTTGCGTTGCTTCTGGGAGTATGGGTTCGAGTCACTTCTGGGGTGTGAGTTTTCAGTTATATATATATATATATATATATATATATATATATATATATATATATATATATATATATATATATATATATATATATATATATATATATATGTTTCATTGAATATGACCGCATATTCTGTATTTATTATTTTCTGGTTTAGGGCTTCTATCCCTCTAACTATTTTCTTAGCATCAGGGCTTAATTGAAATAGGAGTTCTCCAAAACTCATTTTCGTACTTTTAAGGTGAAAAAGAGAAGTGATTTACTATAGAGTGTATTACACTTATTTGTATAATTTGCACGACGTTTCGAACCTCCATGGTTCATTCTCAAGTGAACAGATCTTACAATACTAGTTGATTTTATACCCGCATTAGGTCAGGTGATAATACAATTAAGGTGAAAACATGGGGGGATACATAAGGGATAAACATAGGGGCTGCAGAAGGCTTATTGGCCCATACGAGGCATCTCCTATCTAAACACAAAGATTAATCCAGTGTAATTGGCCTGTTATGTTGGACATTGTCTTCTGTGTTGGCATCGATATGTTCTTGTCTTGTCCTTACTCTCATGGTGGGTAGAGTAAATAGTTCCGTGATTTGGGTGTTCATGGTAGGTCGCTCTATTCTTATGTGAATTGCCTCAAGAATTTGTAATCTTCTTGAATCTTGGGTTTTGTCTATTATGCAAGTATTCTTGTTCAACATTTCTCTTGTTAGAGTAATGTCATGGGCTTGTCTCATGTGATTCCTAGGGGCACCAGATTGAAGATGGCATGTCAAACGCCTCGTCAGCTTGGTCGACGTCATACCTATGTACTTACATTGAAGGTTACATCCTTCGTGGGGGCAAGTGTACATGTATACAACGCTTGACTGCTGTAGAGGGTTCTCCGTCGGCTTCGGGCTGTTTTTGATAAGGAGTTCGGAAGTCTTCTTGGTTTTGTAGAATATTATCAGGTTTATGTTTTGGTTAGGAGTAGTGCTTTTTACTCCTTTACGGATTATTTCTTTCATTATTCTTTCCTCTTTTATATGTTCACTGTGCATGGTTGATTTGTAATATAATTTTATTGGGGGTGTTGTGGTTTCTGTTCTAGGTTCTGAATTATACCAACGGTCCAAGTGTCTTCTTATAGCAGCGTTTATTTCCGCGTTGCTATATCCGTTGTTCACCAATACCTGAGTTACTCTTTCAAACTCTCTACTCACGTTGCTCCATTCAGAGCAGTGGGTAAGCGCTCGACGAATATAAGCATTGAGAACACTGGCTCCGTAAGTTAACATCCCTAAACGGTGGACAGCTAAAAATCCCTCGTCCTAAAGATGGCTACTTTAACCTGACTTCTTATGATCTTACCCAGGACCAACGAGATTTCAATTAAGCCCTGATGCTAAGAAAATAGTTAGAGGGATAGAAGCCCTAAACCAGAAAATAATAAATACAGAATATGCGGTCATATTCAATGAAACATGTTTGAAAGAAAACCTGCTGCCAGTATACACCAATATATATATATATATATATATATATATATATATATATATATATATATATATATATATATATATATATATATATATATATATATATATATATATATATATAAGGAAGGAAGGGAAGTACTATGTATATATAATAAGGAAGGGAGTACTATATCTGGCTGGAAGAAGGATACACACACACATATATATATATATAATGAACATTATATACATATAGTAAACTGTGTTGGGGTACAACAACTTGAAAGCTTTTCCATTAGCAAGATGAGGCAGTAGCCAGCCCAGGAGCCAGAAACACGTCACTTAGAAATATTACTGGTGCGACAAGTGGGTTTAGGGCAGGCGAGGCAGGAGGCGAGGCAGCAGGAGCCTCTTCACTGATGGCGAGCTGAGCAGAATGGTGAAACACGTCTTTAGTGGGAGTTTGGGAAAGGGAAGCAGGTCTCTAAGTTTATGTATTTGTGGCTTGGTTTAATACATTTTGTGTATGTGTATGCTACAATACTAGCGTATTGTATCTATACACACACACACATTAAGATTGTGATAATTTTTGTGTTGGTTTGACAGGTGTTGACATCTTGACCAAGGGAACATAAGGACACAAATGTAGTTTAAGAACAGGTCAAGAGCTCAATGCATTGTTTGTTTACTTCAGAGATCGTAACTATTCAATTGACTGGACTAATTCAGGCAAAACTATGGAGCATAAATTAGTTACTGACAGAAATATTACGGAATCTTCGTTTATGAAACGAAGTGAATTAGATAATATTAATATAAGTAAACACCTCCAAGAGCCCTCCAAGACTCCTCCAAGACACCTCCAAGACACCTCCAAGACCCCTCTAAGACCCCTCCAAGACACCTCTAAGACTCCTCCAAAACTCCTCCAAGACCCCTCCAAGACCCCTCCAAGACCCCCCCAAGAGACCTCCAGGACACCTCCAAGACACCTCCAAGACTCCTCCAAGACCCCTCGTAGACACCTCCAAGACACCTCCAAGACTCCTCCAAGACCCCTCCTAGACACCTCCAAGACACCTCCAAGACTCCTCCAAGACACCTCCAAGACTCCTCCAAGACACCTCCAAGACTCCTCCAATACCCCTCTAAGACCCCTCCAAGACACCTCCAAGACTCCTCCAAGACACCTCCAAGACACATCCAAGACTCCTCTAAGACCCCTCCAAGACACCTCCAAGGCCCCTCCAAGACACCTCCAAGACTCTTTCATGACTCCTCCAAGACACCTCCAAGACACCTCCAAGACACCTCCAAGACTCCTCCAAGACACCTCCAAGACTCCTCCAAGACACCTCCAAGACTCCTCCAATACCCCTCTAAGACCCCTCCAAGACACCTCCAAGACTCCTCCAAGACACCTCCAAGACACATCCAAGACTCCTCCAAGACCCCTCTAAGACCCCTCCAAGACACCTCCAAGGCCCCTCCAAGACACCTCCAAGACTCTTTCATGACTCCTCCAAGACTCCTCCAAGACTCCTCCAAGACTCCTTCAAGACACTTCCAAGACCCTTCCAAGACACCTCCAAGACTCCTCCAAGACCCCTCCAAGAGACCTCCAAGAGACCTCCAATACACCTCCAAGACCCCTCCAAGACACCTCCAAGACTCCTCCAAGACACCTCCAAGACACCTTCAAGACTCCTCCAAGACACCTCCAAGACATCTCCAAGACCTCTCCAAGACACCTCCAAGACTCCTCTAAGACCCCTCCAAGACCCCTCCAAGATTCCTCCAAGATCCATCCAAGACACCTCCAAGACTCCTCCAAGACCCCTCCAAGAGACCTCCAATGCACCTCCAAGACCCCTCCAAGACACCTCCAAGACTCCTCCAAGACACCTTCAAGACTCCTCCAAGACACCTCCAAGACATCTCCAAGACCTCTCCAAGACACCTCCAAGACTCCTCTAAGACCCCTCCAAGACCCCTCCAAGATTCCTCCAAGATCCATCCAAGACACCTCCAAGACTCCTCTAAGACCCCTCCAAGACACCTCCAAGACTCCTCCAAGACCCCTCCAAGAGACCTCCAATGCACCTCCAAGACCCCTCCAAGACACCTCCAAGACTCCTCCAAGACACCTTCAAGACTCCTCCAAGACACCTCCAAGACATCTCCAAGACCTCTCCAAGACACCTCCAAGACTCCTCTAAGACCCCTCCAAGACCCCTCCAAGATTCCTCCAAGATCCATCCAAGACACCTCAAAGACTCCTCCAAGACCCTTCCAAGACACCTCCAAGACTCCTCCAAGACACCTCCAAGACTCCAAGACACCTCCAAGACACCTCCAAGACTCCTCCAAGACACCTCCAAGACTCCAAGACACCTCCAAGACACCTCCAAGACTCCTCCAAGACACCTCCAAGACTCCAAGACACCTCCAAGACTCCTCCAAGACACCTCCAAGACTCCAAGACACCTCCAAGACACCTACAAGACTCCTCCAAGACACCTCCAAGACTCCAAGACACCTCCAAGACACCTCCAAGACCCCTCCAAGACACCTCCAAGACTCCAAGGCACCTCCAAGACACCTCCAAGACTCCTCCAAGACACCTCCAAGACACCTCCAAGACTCCTCCAAAACACCTCCAAGACTTCTCCAAGACACCTCCAAGACTCCAAGACACCTCCAAGACACCTCCAAGACTCCTCCAAGACACCTCCAAGACTCCAAGACACCTCCAAGACACCTCCAAGACCCCTCCAAGACACCTCCAAGACTCCAAGGCACCTCCAAGACACCTCCAAGACTCCTCCAAGACACCTCCAAGACACCTCCAAGACTCCTCCAAAACACCTCCAAGACTTCTCCAAGACACCTCCAAGACTCCTCCAAAACACCTCCAAGACTCCAAGACCCCTCCAAGACACCTCCAAGACACCTCCAAGACTCCTCCAAGACACCTCCAAGACTCCTCCAAGACCCCTCCAAGACCCACATTGCCACCGGAACTCTTAGCTTCCACTCCGCTTGATGTCAGACCTGGAAATTATCTCTTCTCCAACGCCTCATATATTTGGAAGATATTTTAAAAAATCTCAAAGATTTTTTGGTCCTTTTCATTCCAAATATTTATTCCTTCATTCGTGAAATATATTAATTCACGAAGGAAAATTATTCTGAAAATTATTCTCACATTCCAGAAATTTATTCATATTTCTTTTTATAACACGCTCATATATACCTGAAATTAACTGGTACACACCTGAAACTTTAAGATTACACACCTGAAACATTAAGATTACACACCTGAAAAATGTTACTGTAATCCTTAAAATTTAACCATATATTCCATATGTAACTTGCTCTTCACTTTCTGAAACTGTTGTAATGTTCTGGAAATACAGTCTTTTGAGAGTCTTGAAGTGAGGATGTTGTGAATTATCCACAACCCTGGATCACCACTGGTCTCACAACCCTGGATCACAACTGGTCTCACAACCCTGGATCACAACTGGTCTCACAACCCTGGATCACAACTGTGCTCACAACCCTGGATCACAACTGTGCTCACAACCCTGGATCACCACTGTGCTCACAACCCTGGATCACAACTGGTCTCACAACCCTGGATCACAACTGTGCTCACAACCCTGGATCACCACTGTGCTCACAACCCTGGATCACCACTGTGCTCACAACCCTGGATCACAACTGGTCTCACAACCCTGGATCACCACTGTGCTCACAACCCTGGATCACAACTGTGCTCACAACCCTGGATCACCACTGTGATCACAACCCTGGATCACCACTGGTCTCACAACCCTGGATCACAACTGTGCTCCCAATCCTGGATCACCACTGGTCTCACAACCCTGGCTCACCACTGGTCTCACAACCCTGGCTCACAACTGGTCTCACAACCCTGGATCACAACTGGTCTTACAACCCTGGATCACAACTGGTCTCACAACCCTGGATCACAACTGGTCTCACAACCCTGGATCACAACTGGTCTCACAACCCTGGATCACAACTGGTCTTACAACCCTGGATCACAACTGTACTCACAACCCTGGATCACAACTGGTCTCACAACCCTGGATCACAACTGTGCTCACAACCCTGGATCACCACTGGTCTCACAACCCTGGATCACAACTGTGCTCACAACCCTGGATCACAACTGGTCTCACAACCATGGATCACCACTGGTCTCACAACCCTGGATCACCACTGGTCTCACAACCCTGGCTCACAACTGTGCTCACAACCCTGGATCACAACTGTGCTCACAACCCTGGATCACCACTGGTCTCACAACCCTGGATCACCACTGGTCTCACAACCCTGGCTCACCACTGGTCTCACAACCCTGGCTCACAACTGTGCTCACAACCCTGGCTCACAACTGTGCTCACAACCCCAGCACGACTGATGTTGATGGGCGTCGAGCCAAGGACAACAACAGTCTTCTTGATCTCACAACAAAACTGACATAATTTCTGGAATATTTCTTACAATTACACCAGTGAATCACAGTGATTAAATCCAAATATTTTATATAAAATCCCAATTGTAATTTACCGAACTTAACAATGTTCTCACATAAAAGTTCCAGTTATGTAATTTTGATGAAATTTCTCATTCTGGGTCAAGTGACTTGAAAATTTTATTAACCTCGAAGGGTCATGTATGTTTTCTACATGTTGAAATATATTTACATAATTTATAACGGTGTTCAAGTGACCTGGAGCCGATCTAGAGCTGAGTTGGAGAGATTAAAGATAGTGAAAGCTACAATCACCAAGGGATGAGGCGGCCAATCAGAAGCCCTGGAGAGAGACAAGGCACCACTGGCACTCCAGGCACCAAGCCCCCTGGCACTCCAGGCACCAAGCCCACTGGCACTCCAGGCACCAAGCCCCCTGGCACTCCAGGCACAAAGCCCACTGGCACTCCAGGCACCAAGCCCCCTGGCACTCCAGGCACCAAGCCCCCTGGCACTCCAGGCACCAAGCCCACTGGCACTCCAGACACCAAGCCCACTGGCACTCCAGGCACCAAGCCCCCTGGCACTCCAGGCACCAAGCCCCCTGGCACTCCAGGCACCAAGACGACTGGCACTCCAGGCACCAAGCCCACTGGCACTCCAGGCACCAAGCCCCCTGGCACTCCAGGCACCAAGACGACTGGCACTCCAGGCACCAAGCCCCCTGGCACTCCAGGCACCAAGACGACTGGCACTCCAGGCACCAAGCCCCCTGGCACTCCAGGCACCAAGACGACTGGCACTCCAGGCACCAAGCCCCCTGGCACTCCAGGCACCAAGCCCCCTGGCACTCCAGGCACCAAGCCCACTGGCACTCCAGGCACCAAGCCCACTGGCACTCCAGGCACCAAGCCCCCTGGCACTCCAGGCACCAAGCCCCCTGGCACTCCAGGCACCAAGACCACTGGCACTCCAGGCACCAAGACGACTGGCACTCCAGGCACCAAGCCCCCTGGCACTCCAGGCACCAAGACCACTGGCACTCCAGGCACCAAGACGACTGGCACTCCAGGCACCAAGCCCACTGGCACTCCAGGCACCAAGCCCCCTGGCACTCCAGGCACCAAGACGACTGGCACTCCAGGCACCAAGCCCCCTGGCACTCCAGGCACCAAGACGACTGGCACTCCAGGCACCAAGCCCCCTGGCACTCCAGGCACCAAGACGACTGGCACTCCAGGCACCAAGCCCCCTGGCACTCCAGGCACCAAGCCCCCTGGCACTCCAGGCACCAAGCCCACTGGCACTCCAGGCACCAAGCCCACTGGCACTCCAGGCACCAAGCCCCCTGGCACTCCAGGCACCAAGCCCCCTGGCACTCCAGGCACCAAGCCCACTGGCACTCCAGGCACCAAGCCCCCTGGTACTCCAGGCATCAAGCCCACTGGCACTCCAGGCACCAAGCCCACTGGCACTCCAGGCACCAAGCCCCCTGGCACTCCAGGCACCAAGCCCCTGGCACTCCAGGCACCAAGCCCACTGGCACTCCAGGCACCAAGCCACTGGCACTCCAGGCACCAAGCCCCCTGGCACTCCAGGCACCAAGCCCCCTGGCACTCCAGGCACCAAGACGACTGGCACTCCAGGCACCAAGCCCCCTGGCACTCCAGGCACCAAGACGACTGGCACTCCAGGCACCAAGACGACTGGCACTCCAGGCACCAAGACGACTGGCCCTCCACCAAGTAGTGACCAGCCTAGACAATGGGGAGCAGGAAACATGACACGTCTCCTCTAATGAATCAAAGGCGGTCATGACTCCCTTGACGAACAGGCTCCCAGCCTCCATCATCTTGCCCAGTTTCAGTTGTAGAGCGGTTAGTGCCTACCATCATTCTTAGATGAGTTAGCATCTTAGATGAGTTAGCATCTTAGATGAATTAGAATCTTAGATGAATTAGCATCTTAGATGAATTAGAATCTTAGATGAATTAGCATCTTAGATGAATTAGCATCTTAGATGAATTAGAATCTTAGATGAATTAGCATCTTAGATGAATTAGAATCTTAGATGAATTAGCATCTTAGATGAATTAGAATCTTAGATGAATTAGCATCTTAGATGAATTAGAATCTTAGATGAATTAGCATCTTAGATGAATTAGAATCTTAGAGGAATTAGCATCTTAGATGAACTAGAATCTTAGATGAATTAGCATCTTAGATAAATTAGCATCTTAGATGAATTAGAATCTTAGATGAATTAGAATCTTAGATGAATTAGAATCTTAGATGAATTAGAATCTTAGATGAATTAGAATCTTAGATGAATTAGAATCTTAGATGAATTAGAATCTTAGATGAATTAGAATCTTAGATGAATTAGAATCTTAGATGAATTAGAATCTTAGATGAATTAGAATCTTAGATAAATTAGCATCTTAGATGAATTAGAATCTTAGATGAATTAGAATCTTAGATGAATTAGAATCTTAGATGAATTAGAATCTTAGATGAATTAGAATCTTAGATGAATTAGCATCTTAGATGAATTAGCATCTTAGATGAATTAGAATCTTAGATGAATTAGAATCTTAGATGAGTTAGCATCTTAGATGAATTAGCATCTTAGATGAATTAGCATCTTAGATGAATTAGAATCTTAGATGAGTTAGCATCTTAGATGAATTAGAATCTTAGATGAATTAGAATCTTAGATGAATTAGAATCTTAGATGAATTAGAATCTTAGATGAATTAGAATCTTAGATGAATTAGCATCTTAGATGAATTAGAATCTTAGATGAATTAGAATCTTAGATGAGTTAGCATCTTAGATGAGTTAGCATCTTAGATGAATTAGAATCTTAGATGAATTAGAATCTTAGATGAGTTAGCATCTTAGATGAATTAGAATCTTAGATGAATTAGAATCTTAGATGAGTTAGCATCTTAGATGAATTAGCATCTTAGATGAATTAGAATCTTAGATGAATTAGAATCTTAGATGAGTTAGCATCTTAGATGAATTTCGATCGTTCTCGACGCACAATCGAGAATTCCGGGTTTGAATCTCACTCAAGAGAGATATGGTTGGGCATATTTCCTTTCACCTAATGCACCTGTTCACCTAGCAGTAATTAGGAACTCAGGAGTTAATCAGCTTGTTGGGGGTTACCTCCTGGGCAGGGTCAGTAATTCGACCTTGAGGGGGAGGGGGGGACCTCTATATAAGCCTAACGTATATGACTACACTCTGGCTGCCTGTCCCCGACACAATGAATCATATACTTCGTCAGGTCATTGGGACAAGCTGGGACTTATTTATTATTTAATAATTTTCTCCCTGTTATTAAACCCAACCACTTGGGCTGGACGGTAGAGCGACGGTCTCGCTTCATGCAGGTCGGCGTTCAATCCCCGACTGTCCAAGTGGTCGGGCACCATTCCTTTCCCCCGTCCCATCCCAAATCCTTATCCTGACCCCTTCCAAGTGCTATATAGTCGTAATGACTTGGCGCTTCCTCCTCATAGCTCCCTCCCTGTTATTAACTGAACAATTGAACCTGTTCTCCACCAAACTTGACTTGTTAATCTACGCGTAAAATATAATGTTCTCCTGGAGAGCTTAGAACACCACTTAGTTATAACAGCCGGCGTGAGAACTATGATAGATGGTGTGGTCACATTAGTCCCACAGGATAGATGGAGATGGATAGATGGAGTCCCACAGGATAGATTGAGATGGATAGACGGAGTCCCACAGGATAGATGGAGATGGATAGACGGAGTCCCACAGGATAGATGGAGATGGATAGATGGAGTCCCACAGGATAGATTGAGATGGATAGACGGAGTCCCACAGGATAGATTGAGATGGATAGACGGAGTCCCACAGGATAGATGGAGATGGATAGACGGAGTCCCACAGGATAGATGGTGATGGATAGACGGAGTCCCACAGGATAGATGGTGATGGATAGACGGAGTCCCACAGGTGCACCAGCCAGCCAGGTGTAAACAAACAATGAGACTGAACACTAACAAGAGGACAGTTATTTATAAGACCATTGATGGTCCTCCTAACAACTGTCACGCAGGTGTTTGACTACACAAACACAGCTGTAAATAGGTGTATTACAAGGACAAAAACACAGCTGTAAATAGGTGTATTACAAGGACAAAAACACAGCTGTAATACATGTATTACAAGCACACAAACACAGCTGTAACAGGTGTATTACAAGGACACAAACACAGCTGTAACAGGTGTATTACAAGCACACAAACACAGCTGTAACAGGTGTGTTACAATGTGAGTATAATCAACCTCATATGAGAAGGTTTAAGCTTGTAGTTCTGGGAGTCGACATTCACAGAAGAATTAGTCTTGAAATGAAAACAATTCTTGTTCGCGTTCGTAATGAGTGCTGTCGGGACGTTGGTTAAACAGCCTCGGCTATCAACGACTTGTGTAAAGTCTGCAATGATCAAGTGGATAACGTGCTGGATACGCCGGTATTTGGAGCACCAGGCTGTCTAAGGTTCGAATCCTATTAAATACCACCTCACCCCATCCACCTCACTCAAATGTAGATATAAACAAATCGGAGATGTGTAAGTTCTATTCAGTTGTGTATGTGTAACTAAAGTCTTTGAAAATGTAATAAGTTTTACGAAACGCGCTCAAGTGTCGCGTCAGACTAGAAATAAAAAGGAATTTTGGAGAATTGATTTTTGAATTAACACCAACAGTGAAAAGAAATGTACGAAAGATTGAGAAAATTCGTGTTTGAATTATTAATCTTACTTTTTCGGTCATATTTAATAATATATGTCTACAGGAAAGACTGCTACCAAAATATACTAATATATATATATATATATATATATATATATATATATATATATATATATATATTTTATTAAATATGACCGAAAAAGTAAGATTAATAATTCTAACACGAATTTTCTCAATCTTTCGTACATTATGCTTCACTGTTGGAGGTAAATCAAAAATCACTTCTCCAAAAATAAGATGATCGAAACTGACAAACTAAGATGACAAACTGATCGAAACTGTGAACGCCAAGAAATCCGGACTCCACCTGCCAAAGATCATTGGGGAATATAAACCTGGATATGCGTATGGAAATGTCAAGACGCACAAGCCTGGAAACCCACTTCGGCCAATCATTAGCCAGATACCCACACCCACGTACAGATTGGCGAAGCGACTCAACGGCCTGCTGACTCCTTATGTTCCTTGCGCCTTCAGCCTGAAGTCTCCAAAGGAATTTGTGGACTTACTGCGGGGCGCACGGGCCACAGGGATAAGAGCCTCGTTGGACGTAGAATCGCTGTTTACCAACGTACCTGTGGACGAGACAATCGGAATGATAGCCGACAGAGTGTATCGTGATCCAGCCTGTACTCCTCTTGACATGCCAGAAAGTATTCTGAGGAAACTACTCCAAGCTTGTACTAAAGAGGCACCCTTCTTGAGCCCGGATGGGCACATGTATAAGCAAGTAGATGGGGTCGCTATGGGTTCTCCCCTAGGTGTCCTGTTTGCAAACTTCTACATGGGTACCATCGAGCAAAAAGTCTTAGTCGACATGAACTTGAAACCGGCCATATACTGCAGGTATGTTGACGACATTTTTACACAGGTACCTGATGTCAGACATCTGCAGGAGCTGAAGGAGGCATTTGAGCAGAGTTCCGTGCTGCGTTTCACTTACGAGACGGAAAAGGATGGGAAGCTGCCTTTTCTAGATGTAACAGTCATGGAAAAGGGCGGAGGTTTCCACACTGCAGTCTACACAAAGGAAACAAACATAGGAATGTGCCTAAATGCCAACAGCGACTGCCCTGACAGGTACAAGAGGAGTGTTGTTAACGCATACGTCGACCGTGCTCTCAGCCACAGCTCAGAATGGAAGCAAGTCGACGAAGAACTCTGTAGGGTAAGGCAGGTTCTAGTCAATAACGGCTTCTCCAATGGTTTCATCGAAGACATCATAAGAAGGAAAATGAAAAGCCATGCAACCTCCGAAGAGACAACTAACACAACACCTATACCCCCTATTAGACTATTTTACAGGAACTTCTTTTCCACAGCTCATAAAACAGAGGAAAGGGTCCTGAAAGATATTGTTAATAGAAACGTTATCCCTACAGACAAAAATCAGAGGATACAACTGACGATTTACTATAAAACCAGAAAAACGGCCAGCCTACTCATGAGAAACTCTCCAGACACGAAACAGAACGCTTTAAAAGAGACTAACGTCGTCTATGCCTTCAAATGCCCACTTGGGGACTGTAAGCTCCAAAAAACCCAGTATATAGGCAAGACAACAACATCTCTTTCTAGGCGTTTAACGATGCATAAACAACAGGGCTCCATTAAGGAACATATAATCTCTTCCCATAACCAAACCATCGCCAGAGAAATCCTAGTAAACAACACAGAAATCATCGATAGATACAGCGATAGCAGGCGGCTCGACGTTTGCGAGGCACTACACATCAAGAAGTCAACACCAGCAATCAACAGCCAATTATTGCACAACTATATTCTACCCACCTCAAGACTCCGCTCCAATATAGAAGCATCAAGAAATATGGACCAATAGGCTTTCTACAAACACTTCTATTCAATATCCATTGTTTCGTGTTCTGTCTTGTGTTGATACTTTTAATACCCTATTAATATCCTCTAATGCCACATCATCCTTCCCACCT